CTGTCTGCCGCCCCGAGTCCTCCAGTCGCTGATGTGAAAAGGAAAACGTTTTGTCATGTGTCACCTGTAACTTGTCGTAGACTGTAACACTAGCATGGATCCTGGATAAAAATGTGCCTGACCTTGCCAAACTCTTCTTTTACATGCAACAAAATGATAGTTAGACATTTTACAGAGCTCAGCTGATTGGTCAGTCAGAAGCAACCTGATGTAAAATTAGCAGCTCTGTAAAAACCAACACTGGTGAAAGCGTTTCTGCAGTCATTGATCGATGATTCCTCTTCATGATTTGTTTGCTTTTCCTTTGTTTGAGGTCAGCAGCACTGGCACCTTGTTTGTGGTAAAATAATCCAACCAAGTTGTTTCCGTGACAACACAAAATAAATAATTTCCAGAATGTTTAAAGATGTTCTGGGCATGCTACATGCCATCCGCTTCTCCAGGAGCATCACATGTTAATCATTTAATCTGACAGTTAAACATACACCGCACGCTCTCTCCTGAGTGTTTGCTCGAGTTGTACTTGATGGACTGCAGAGTAGAAACCAGCACTCTTTTGATCACAACGGTGGCGCGGGAAGGAAGCGAGGAGGAGCGGCGTTCCCGTGCTCATCTGTCAGACGTGCAGAGGCGGGATGCCTCCCCCCGAGCAGCATCCACCAACAGTGCTCTTACCTCTTTTTGATGTTGTTCAAGCTATTCACAAATAAATCACATCTGCTCCCTGCTTTCTTTCCTCTCCCCTGTTTGGTGTCTCAACACAGAGTTGGATAAAAGTAAAAGAGGCGGGCAATCGCTCTGTGTTATACTTTTTAGTGGGTTTCTTTGAATAAGAGCTGCAAATCGATACCACGGACGTTTGCCAATATTTATGCATTTGTTTAAATGTTTCTCACAGTAAACACTTTCTTCAGTAGCGCCGTCTCTCTGTGGCAGTGGCCTGGTTTTTCATTTCATAACAGCAAATGGTTCTCCTGTGTTAGGTTTGACCTTGACTAGATTGTTTTGGACCACAGCCTTTACATCTGTTAATAAATCTGAATCTTATTCAGGTAATAACATCATTAAAGGCAGTGCTGTTTTTATCACTGTACTGGAAAAGGTGCTGTTATACTAACAGTAAGATTTTAGGCTAACAGCCTGCAGCCTGTTGGGCAGCTTTAAGATGGATTGCACTGCCCTTTGTCACTTACAGGAATAAACGAGTGCGTGATCAGCCAGCAGCCTGTCAGTTTGAACCTGTGCCGGCTGCTGTTTGATTAGAGCCTGTTCTCTGTGGGAGTTTGTGCAGGTGCACAGCAGAGCAGATATTTTGGGCTTTTTCAGTGTTTATTTGACAGATACACAGAGAAAGGACAGGAAAACGAATTTTTGATTTTTCTGATGTGAATTATGATCAATATCTTTTTCAGAGGTCCACAGTTTAGCTTTTGGTATGATGCAGAATTTATGACAGTAGCTGAATCTACACAGATAAACATGTATGTGCACTATGAACATGTATTTATTTAAAAAAAAAAGCAACATATAACGAGCTCAACGACCAGTAACTATGAGAAGGACGAATTCCCACGCGTGACCGCGCCTGCAAGGAGTTAAAATAAGCACCACAGGAACGCGCACGTCCGGTACAGTAGGCAGGACGTACCGCGTCTGCTGCCGTCGAGTATAAGCTGGCTGTGACGAGCCCACGGTCCGCCGCTCACACGGGCAGACAGCACAGTGTGAAGACAGGAGCGCGCCTCCCTCAGCTGGGCTCAACATCCTGCAGCGTCTCGGTTATTGTCGCTTCTATTGCATTGAACACACACGCGCGCATATATATATTAAAAACAAACAAACAAAAACAGCGCCATTATGTTGTGGACGGCGAGTCAAGTCTTGAGGAAATTCTCCACTTCATCCGTGAGTAACGCTGCAAACAATCACCGGGATTTGATGCGTGAGCTGCTCTGATGTTGCGTGAAATGTGTCTGTGTAGCGCTGAATGCGTGCAGCGGTGTGCGGGTCAGCACTGAGCAGGCTCGGGTCTGACTGCAGTCATTCTCAGTAAGTCACTCAGCTGCTGTATTTTCAGCCAACACGGGAGAAGACGGTGCACACTTTGCCACGTTACGGTGTCAACGGCTGTTCCTGCCGCTGCACGCTCGGACGGAGCTGGCCGCTACTGTACAATATCTGGAGGAGTTGCATCATCATCACAGGAGGCTCACGGTGTATTGGCTGGAGCCCGGCTTACTTACGACCCTGCTGGGCTGAAAGAGGCAGCATCAGACGGGCTCTTTCATTTCTTATCTATTTACCGAGTCGCTGGGAAGTTGCTGTGCAGCAGCAGCCGGCCTGTCAAATGTGCACTTGACAGGATCTTACATATGTGCATGGGAAACCTGAAACCTCCATGCTTAACACATGTGGGGGAGGTTCTGGCGTGCACTTGTCACTGCTGGGGAAGGGTTGTAATCTTCATCAGCCAATAGCTTTTCTCTCAGCTGCCTTTAGCCAATAACAGAGTTAAAGGCCACTAAGACCGCCAAGGGAGGTTGAGATTTAAGGATCTCTCACATATGCAATGAACGGGTGTAAAATAAAATATTATAAGGGTCTGACAAAAAGTCAATAATATATAACTTCAGGAAAAAAAGCTTAATGATGACGGACATTTGCCCTGGTTGTGAGAAGTTATATTATGGGAAACAGAAGCAAAGAGGTTTCTGCTGCCCCAGTTTGACTGTCAGTTCAATCAGAAACTGCTGTGCTGTTAAAACTTGTGAGCTCGCCATCGTTTCTTTATATTTTACTTTCAAAGAGTTTTAAAGTGGTCTTGAGTTATAGATTTCCAGGCTCTTTGGAGGTCTTTCAAAGTTCTTCTTTGGACATTGGCCACATTTTTACTCATTTTCAGTCCAGTCATTAAACCTGACCATTTTCAGAGCACTTTGTTTGTCAACTCGAATCAGCCAGGCACGAATAAAGGACCAAATTCAAGAGAAGAATGGCTGAACCCATTTTAAACTGCATGTTTAGGCATAAAAGAGTATGTTGCACCAACAAGGTGGTTCCCAAACAGCTGTTAGCCAGAGAACTGGGATATCTCTGTAGGTGCACTGTGTTCTTAAAACAATAAGACAACTGGAGGACGAAAGAAGAACAAGCAGGCATAAAAGAGTATCTGCAGCAGATGACCAATATCTGAATGTTATTTCTGTAAGAAAATGATAAAATCCTGCACACAACAGCTAATAGTGCGCCTGGCCTGCAGTTGGTTCATCTACTGTTTTCATAAACCTGATGAGAAATTGTCTCAGTGGAATCGTGGCTGTCAGGATCCGTTGTTAAGGATGGAAAACAGGGAGAAAACGATGACGTATGCAAGAACTGGACTGACAGTAATTGTGGAGGATGAATACAGAGTTACAGTGTTTATACAGAGGTGAGTATTCAGTCATGTTTAAAATACTTGGGGCTGCGTTCCAGCCGGTGGACACAAAGTCAGAGTTTGGTCCAGCGTGCGCTCACATCTGGGAAGTGCCTGGGAACAGCTTCATTTTTCATGATCCCTC